GTTGTCTGTTGGGATATCACTTTCCAGGGCAAAAAGTGTCCTGTAGGAGGACCTGTGCCATGTGGGAATAACTGAACTTTAAATGTGCAGCTTAGGAGTCATCAAACAGTTTTTATTCCCCAATTTGGGGGCTGTATCTGCAGATGCAGAGGAAAAAGATAAGAAAAATGTAGTTTAGATGTGAAGTGTTCAAAGCGTGACTGTCTTTTGATCTCACTTCAAAGGGGATGTGTTGACTCTTTTCCTGGGCTGCCTGAGCCTTTGGAATGGGGCTGGGGGCACACCCACAGCTCTTTCTGCCAGCTGGACTTTGGGAGAAATGGGGTACATGTTTTTGGCAAGGATATAAAATCCCTGTCCTCCCTTCTGTTCCCCTTGGCAAATTTTTGTGAAATAATGAGGCTCCAAGTCTGTTTTGTCAGTTTTATGTTGTTGGGGTTTTTTTATTATTTTATTTCAGAATATTGGTCATTGCCCATGTGATGAGGTACCTTACACTGAGAAAGGCAAAGGCCTTTTTATTGCTGTCATGGCTGAATTTATTACTTTAGAACTTCTCAAGGGTGAAGTTTGGCTTTTACTGTGAATGGCCCCTTGGAATGACACCAGGTCCCATTCAGCATCCTGGAATGATGCTGGTGCAATCTAAAAATAGGCAAGAGAGGAATAAGCCTGGATGTTGCTGAAATGATTATACAGTTTAATTTGTGAGCAGGGAGCAGGTTAATTTATTGTCTTATGTTATCTGAGCAGCTGCTTCAGTGATCTCAGTGTCCCTTTCAGCTTGTTATGACCCCCTTGCTCACTCCCCTGTCACCACTTGCCATTTGAAATGTTTTTAGGCTGAAAAAACCTCTTTGATGTCACACTGACATCACACGTTTGTCTCGTGTTCTCAGGAGCCCTGGACTTCGAACATATCGAGGAACAAGCTGAGGGGATCTTTGGAGGAAGGAAAGTATCTCTTCACAGGTGCTCATCGAGGGGCAGCTCCGAGTCCCCAGGCTGCAGGGCTCCCAGGGAGTGGAAATTCCAGTCCAGAGGGAGATGGTGGCTGGGGAGAGCTTGAAAACAGCTGCCACAGTTACTCAGGCTCCATTTTCTTAAAATGACTTTGATGCAGTTCAAAGTAGGGTCCAGTTGGATTAAAAATAACAGATCAGGGATACAGGGGTCCTTCAGCCAGAAGAGTCATTGCGGGAGGGCTCCACTTAATGGGTAAAAGCCAGGGTGGAGAATTAGGGCATCTTAAGCTCAGTGCTGCAGTAAAATCTTACTTAGGTGGAAGAGTTTGTGCAGGCAAGGATTGGCAAAACTGTAAATTGGGTAATGCAAGCTGAGTGGACCCTGAGCAGTGAGATTCTGGAATAGCCTCCCTCTTAACAGCACACCAAAAACCCTGTCTTGAGATCGCATTTGATTTGATAAATTTCCTCCTTACTTAAAAGTAAGAAAAGAGGTTTTCCTCCTGTTAAGTGGATTAAGAACCTGCTGGCATACTCAGTCTAATGTGCCAGTTAACTCCTCCACTCTGTTTTCAGTGAGGAGAACACACCTCTGGATTTGGATGATCACGGTGGCAGAACATTTCTCCGAGTTCTGTTGCACTTAACCATGCATGATTACCCTCCCCTGGTGTCTGGAGCACTGCAGCTCCTCTTCAGGCACTTCAGCCAGAGACAAGAAGTCCTTCAAGCTTTCAAGCAGGTATGTGTGAGTTCCAAGAGTTATTCCTCATCTGAATGTGTGTATTGCAGCTAAAAACAACCCCTTTTTGTGCAACTAATGGATTGCATTCATGTAAGGTTCAACTGCTTGTTACCAGCCAAGATGTTGACAACTACAAGCAGATCAAACAAGACTTGGACCAGCTGAGGTCAATAGTGGAGAAGTCGGAGCTGTGGGTGTACAAAGGCCAAGGTCCTGACGAGGCCATGGACAGTGTGCCAGGTGAAAACGAGCACAAGAAGAAAGAGGTAATTAGGCTGTGTTTGTGCAGATTCCCCTGTGGGTATTTTGAGGGGGTGGCTGTGTTCAGAACTGTGGCAGAAGCCCATCTTCCCAGCACGCTGAGCAGCCTGGTGAGGCTGGCTGTGTATTTTTAGGTTAAGGCAAGAGAAAGGGGAGAACTTGAGCTGGTTGATACCAAGTGGAGACTGCTCAGGATTAGCAGCCACTGAAGTGTCACCCTTAGGGTCTTAACAGAGCTGGTTTGGGTTGGCTCTGACTCCACAGTTCTGTCCTTCCAGCACTGAGCGATCACATGGGATTTGTCCAGTTAAAAGCACCTCAAGTAAGGTAAGGGCAGAGCTGTGAACTGCTCAGGTGATGCCTTTTCAGTCATGCCACTGATAAATGACAGAAGAGAACTGTGCTTTATCTGTGCCTGATAATCCAGGACTTTCCTGACATGCACATCTGACTTGGAACTCATTAAACACATTTTGCCTCCGTATAATTTGCAGTCAAATAGACAAGACTGGGTGAGGGAATCCAAGAAACAGTCCCTTGGTTATGAACATTCATTGTTGGAAGTAAAGACAAGTAATTTACTTGTTGCTTTTCTTGTGCAGGTCCTGAGAGGCATTTCTTAGTCTGTGTGCAGTGACAGTTTAATAATAGTTGAGAGGAAGAGAAGTAAGGACTTTTTTTTGGGGGGGAGACTTGATTAGAGACAGAATGTGACAACCAAAGGAAAGGACAGGAAGTTGCTGTCTCTGCAATCATCCCACCCTCACCTTATTTTGTGTTATAGAGGTCAGTGTGACTTGACAAGATAATTGTATGTATTTTTGTGAGACTGTCAGAGCTGGAGGATGACAGTCCTTCCCAGGAGGAGAGCGGGCGCTGTCCTAGAACGGTAATTTTAGCCTTCGTGAAGGCAGTAGTATAAGCTACTAATAAATTGTCTGATTTTATCCTCAGGAAGGTCACAGCAAGTCCCAAAAGCCTGAAAGTACTAGCAGCTACAACTACCGGGTAGTAAAAGAGGTAAAACTTTGCTTCTTGATAGTTCCCTGGCAGTGTAAATGAGTAACAGAGCTCTGGAGAGCTGCAGGCAGAGGGAGGCACCCAGGACAGTCTGAGTCACTGTGCCATTGTGGAAACTATTTGCTGAGTAATAACATATCCCAGCTTGAATGGGAAGCCAGGATATAATAAGCACGACGTGTGTACTCTTTCCTTGAGGATGGATTAGTGAGAAACGCGAGGTTTTGCTGCTGTTTCAATGGTAACACAATATTTTCATTGTTAAAGACTACAAAGGCAGGAGGCAGGGGGAGAAGCCATTTAGTTTGCCCTGGTCCTGAGTACCTGGCACTCAAACCCGCTTTGCTGTTGGAATTTAATTTAGGAAACACCAGACTGAGAGTGTGTGTTGGTGCTGGTGTGGTGTGAGCTGCAGGCCTGTGTGTGGAGCCTGTGGTGGGTTCTGCAGGAGCATAGAATCACAGAGCATCCAGAGCTGGAAGGGACCCACAAGGATCATCCAAGTCCACCAGCCTTAGTCAGATGCCATGGATGGAGCCTGGGCCATGAGGAGCTGCCTGGAGCCGCTCTGCTCCGCACAGAGGAGTTTCTCCCCGTTGCTGCTCTCTGGGACCTGGCATTCTGTGAAGGAACAGCCAGGCTCTGGGCTCTAAAGCCAGTCTCTCTGCAGATCCTGCTGCGGCTCAGCAAGCTCTGTGTGCAGGAAGGGGCCTCGGTGAGGAAGAGCCGGAAGCAGCAGCAGCGACTCCTGCGGAACATGGGAGCCCACGCCGTGGTGCTGGAGCTGCTGCAGATCCCCTACGAGAAGGTGGGGCTCCTCTGCTGGCTCCTTGCTTTGGGTCCCGTTGGCAGGCTTTTAATGCCTCCTCTGAATCTTGGATATGTTGGAATGTATTGGATCCACAGGGGCTGGTTTATATGGTCTCACAGTCTGTAAAATATCCATACTTTGGGGAGCTTGGACAAGCTCTGTTTGTGTGAAGTCTTTAACATACAGTTATGCACTATTTCCTGAAGAAGTATTTGTCTGCCACAGCTCAGAGTAAGACCAAGGCTCAACTGGGAGCTTTTCATGGGAGGCATGTGCTGCCTTGGAGTTGAGCTGTGGAAGCAAGACCCGGTTGTTGCTACCAGGCAGCTGCATGCCCACCATCCTGGGAACACCAGAGTGCCTGGTCCCCAGGGGATTTGTCAGGTCTGTCCAGTAGTTAAACACAGACCCCCTCAGTTGCAGAGTCCCAAACTCCCCCCTCAGAAATGAATAAATACCAACTGGCCCGCCAGGTCAGGGCTCAGTAATGAGCCCTGTCAGATGCCACATGTTATCACAGTGCAGTGTGGAGCCCACTGGGACTGGTTTGGAGCCCACTGGGTCTGGGTTGTGTCTGGTTGGAGCCTGCACAGTCCCATGTTGTGCTGATGCAGCACAGCCCAAGTTCATCCTGTTGGCTGCCCATTAGTCACAGGTGACAGGTACTTATCAGTGCAGAGGTGACAAGTTTCCTGATCACTCTGCTGTCCTCTGTTCCAAACTCCACAGGTTTCTGAGAACCAGTAATTCTGGACAGTAGCTTTGATTAATGTTAAGTCTCATGGTTTCTTGCTTCATACTTTGCTAAAAAATGGGCAGCAAAGACACTCTCCAACATCTTGTCTTCTTTCTGTCCTGTACATGTGAATGTGCATTGGACAGGCAGCGTGGAAGGGGTTTCACCCTTGGAAATATATGAAATTCCTTAAAAGTAAAAACAGACTCTGATTTTCCAAACTGCATCTTCTGCCATCGGTGGGTTGGGGATCCACACTGACGTCAGAGGAGAGGCACCAGTTCCTCAGCAGTGCTTGGAAGTGTGCAAGCAGTGTGCAGGTTCCAGTAAATATAAATTGGGCTGAACTGGTGCAGTGACAACTTTCCATGTCTCCCTTGCCATGAGCTGCCCATCTGTCTGTGCAGTGGAACGTGGCAGAGTTCCTGGGCAGCCCCGAGGTGATGATGTGTGGCTTGGCCAACGTGCCGGGATGTTCAGAAGTGACTAAAGCACGTTGCTGGCAGGCCTGGCCATGGAGTAGGCAGTTTTAGGGAATAAACTACTGTAATTTCTATTATGGACTTCGTTTTTGATGCTCTTTAGAACTGTGGAACGGGCCAAACTCATCCCGAGCGTCTGTGAGCTGGGTGGAGGTTTGTTTTCCTTCGGGGTGTGAGGGACGTGACAGTTCCTTTGCAGAGCTGGAGCTGTGGCTCGTCCAGTGCTCACCTGAAAGTGAACCTTTGGAGTCCTTTTAACTCCCTCTTGTTTGTCATGCAACCCCAGGCTGAAGACACGAGGATGCAGGAGATAATGAAGCTTGCACACGAGTTTTTGCAGAACTTCTGCGCTGGGAACCAACAGAATCAGGCCTTGCTGCACAAGCACATAAACCTGTTCCTTAACCCAGGGGTAAGAATAACCTCAGGCCATGATTTATTTTTTGTTCTAGCAAGGAAAGGGACTGGGTTGTCCTTGGTGAAGCCTCAGGGGCTGTTCTGATGCAAGATTGGTTGAAGAGGTCACATTTTGTTTTCATTCTGAAGCCTCAAAGGTTGGCAAGATGTTTGTTTAGGGCCATTTCAGTGTAGAGAGTTCAAGAGGCTGAGGTGGAGTGAAAAACAGGCTGAGATAGGAGCTGGGGTGTTGAAAGATGAGGTCCAGAAATGTTCCTCCAGCCCTGTGCCCTGCAGGAGCGTTGGCTTTACCCTGACCTCTGGGGGGGCCCGGTGGGTTGTTTATTTTCTGATTGCTTTCTTCCCTTCATCCCCTAGATTCTGGAAGCAGTGACAATGCAGCACATTTTCATGAACAACTTCCAGCTCTGCAGCGAGATCAACGAGCGCGTCGTTCAGCACTTCGTCCACTGCATCGAAACCCACGGCAGGAACGTTCAGTACATCAAGTTCCTGCAGACAATCGTCAAGGCAGAGGGGAAGTTCATTAAGAAATGCCAGGATATGGTAATGGCTGAGGTGAGAGCTGCAGGGATTTGCAGGGTCTGAACAGAAGTTTTCACACAGCAGTTGGTGAACATGACAAATTGATCCTCTCGCTTCGGGGACTGCCAAGAACCTGACAGTGAGCTCTCACCATGCAAAAAGAGCAAACAGCTCCCAGAAAGCTCAGGCTTTTTGTGACCAAAAGCTTTCTGAGCTCTTGACTCATAGGTGTAACGAGGGGTTGATAATTAATGGCACAAGTTACTTCCCAGCACGTGTGCACAGCAGCACATGGGTGGGATTATGAAGCAGGGGTGCCTTTCTCTAGCAAAATTGGCTTGAAGAGAATTAGTTTAATTTCAAGATCACTAATGCAGAAGGAGAATTTTACCATGATAGTGTTTTGATGGGAATTCTTTATAGCATTCTAGAATGGTTTGGGCTGGAAGGGACCTTAAAGCCCATCCAGTCCCACCCTCTGCCATGGGCAAGGACACCTTCCACTCTCCCAGGCTGCTCAGAACTGGCCTTGGATACTTCCAGGGATGGGGCAGCCACAGCTTCTCTGGGCACCCTGTGCCAGGGCCTCCCCACCCATACTTTTCCTGTCTTTCAGTTTGAAGCCATTCCCCCTTGTCCTGTCACTCCAGGCCCTTGTAAATAATCTTAGCAAGATGTACTTACTCAGCTGTTAAAGTGCTGAAGGTGGAAAAGATGAGGGTGTTCCTTAGGTGTGTGGGTAACTGGGGAATTGGAGTGGCAGGGTAGAAGGGAGAGGTAAGAGAAGGGTGACTAAGTGCCTCTAAGTGGGATATTGGATGTGATCCATGATGGTGTATTTACACATCTGATGGGATATTTGGCCTCCTCAGCAGGGGGAGCCCCAGGATCAGATTTGTGAAATCTGGCTTTTGTGCATCAATCCTGGTAGATTGATGGAAAATCTTCCAGAATTTGTTGTTCAGCTTGAAAGCAGCTTTGTGAGCTTCTCAGCACACAGCTGAGTTTGTGGGGTGGTCAGCAGTGCTGAGCAGAGGGGGCTGCCTGAGAGGTTTCCTCCTGCCTTTTATCCTGCTGTTTTTCCCAAACCCTGGGGGAGGACAGCCCTGGACCCCTCCTGCTCAGCAGTGCCCAACCTGGGGCAGGTCTCACTTTGCTCGTTCTCCTTCCTTTCCTGGAGTTCCAGGAGGTCTGAGCTGCTCTGAAATCGTGGCCAGCAGGGTGTCAGATGTGAAGCTGATGTAAATCTCCAGTGTGTGACTTAAGGTGTGACTTTGTGCCTTGGAAGGTGGATGGTGTTTGCTCAGAAGGGTGGAAGGAGTGAGCCCTGAGCCCTCCCATCCCTGTGCCCCAGGGCAGTTCTCTGACCAGAGCTGCCCACAGCTGCATTAAAAAGTCAACTGAGGCAACAGGACATGAAATAAAAAAGCACAATGGAAAGTCAGAAGTTTGTTGGCACAACTTCTGTCTAAGCAGGCAGCTGGACTGGCTTTGAACTTCTCCAGCAGTTCAGAAGTGGTAAATTCTTTAGGAGAAAATGTCCTGCTCGTGTCCTGTCTCCCGTGAAGGCAGCACGGGAGCAGTGCCCAGCTGACCTGGGGGCTGTGCTCCTTTTGAGTGTCTGAGGAGCAGCTCATGGGCATTTGCAGCCCCAGAGTAGGGGGATGCCGTGGGGAGATCCCAGGCTTTGCTCTGCTGATGGAATGTTCTCCGTCCTTGGCAGCTGGTGAACGCAGGAGAAGATGTGCTGGTGTTCTACAACGACAGAGCCTCCTTCCAGACCCTGGTGCAGATGATGAGGTCAGAGAGGGATCGGATGGACGAGAACAGCCCCCTGATGTACCACATCCACCTGGTGGAGCTGCTGGCTGTGTGCACTGAGGGCAAAAACGTCTACACAGAGATCAAGTGCAACTCCCTCCTCCCCCTGGATGACATTGTGAGGGTGGTGACCCATGAGGATTGCATTCCTGAGGTGAGGGCTGATAGAACTGGCCTGTTTCTATTTGAAATGTGCTGATTTGGGGTGAGAGAGGTTTGATATTGCTGAGTCTGGCCTGGGAAGGGGGTGGTGCAGGTGGGCAGTGAGCTGGGAAACTGGATTCCTTCCCTGCTTCTGCTGTCAGCACCCCCAGTCAATCTGGATAGTGAAGTTAAATCCTTTTATATTACTCCTTAGCCATAAAATAGGAATGTGATGCTGTACTTGGTTATTTTATAAGGTTCTTGAGGCAGAGAGGTTTGTGGATGTGCTGCTAACCTTGAACAGATGGTTCTGCAGGTCTGGAAATTATTATGATGCTGACGTTTGGTCTGCAGTTATCCTGGAGGTTTTTTATTGGATGGTGTCTTGCTATTCATGGCATTAAATTTCACCAGTGGTTAAATAAAAGGAAGTGGAATTCCAGATTATTTACGTAGCAGTTTTAATGTGACATTATATTCATCCATACCACCATTCAGCTTTTTATGCTTTATTAATTTTTTCCTCTGCTTTTAGGTCAAAATAGCCTACATCAACTTCTTGAACCACTGCTACGTGGACACAGAAGTAGAAATGAAAGAGATTTACACCAGTAATCACATGTGGAAGCTGTTTGAGAACTTCCTGGTTGACATCTGTCGGGTAATGTGTCTGTACCAAGGAACTGAATTCAGAAAGCTCAAAAGAGCCTATTTAATATACAACAGTAAGAATAAAACATACCAGTGCATCAAGGCAATAAGCTCCCTGAATTCTGTGTTCCTGTAAATTTATGTGTGCCTTCTTTGCCTTATGCCTGTGGATTCCATTAGTCATATTCCATGGCACACATTAATATTTTCCTTTTTAAAAGAAAAAAACCAACCAAACCAGAGCTCAGTGAAGCCCCACACCCTGCTTCTTTGTCCAGTGCCTTTTCTGTCCTGCCACCTGGTTTGCTTATTCTGGCCAGGATTGCTGAGCTCCTTCCTGAGCGACATTTTTTGGCAGGTCAGGACAGATTTTTTCCAAGCCTGGCATTTATTCGGCCCTGTGGCTTTTTGCCTGGGATTCCAAGTATTTCCCCATACGAAAGCATTACACCTCAGTGCTCCCTACCCTTCCCTTGCTCTCCTCCAAGGCAGTGTGGTTCTCTCCCTCCCCCTGAAGGTGCTCTGTGCCAGCACATTGTACCAGGGACACCCTTGGCTTTGCCCTTGTGGGTGCTGGAGGCCCAGAGCTCCAGTGTCACAAACACCACCATGGCAGGGAACTGCTGGGACTGGAATAATGGGAAGCCAGGAATTCCAGCTGTAAGGGTGGTTGATCTGCCTTGGTGAGCTGCTGCTGAGCTGAGGGTGGTTTGTCCTGCAGGCCTGTAACAACACCAGCGACAGGAAACACGCAGATTCCATCCTGGAGAAGTACGTGACGGAGATCGTGATGAGCATTGTCACCACCTTCTTCAGCTCCCCCTTCTCTGACCAGAGCACAACCCTGCAGGTAGGAAAATGCAGAGACAGAAAAGGGAAAACATGCTGCCAAGGCAGTTCTGTTCATTCCACTCGGGCGCCGTTTACCAGGTCAAAAGAAACACGTGTTGTGATGGGGGAACAAGTATTTGACTGTTCCTTGTGACCTTTTGCTGGAGAAATGGAAAGATTTGTAGATCAGAGTACAAATTCTTCTAGAGAAGTTGAAGTGTTGCTCTGCTTCATCAGTGGATTCAGCTCTGTGCTACCAACACCACACAGGCCATTTGGAGAGAGTTTGTGTGTCACAGAATCACAGAATGGTTTGGGTTGGAAGGGACCTTCAGGATCATCCAGGTCCAACCCTGTGCCGTGGGCAGGGACACCTTCCACTAGACTAGGTTGCCCCAAGCTTTGGTGGCAAACTTTCCAGGCTTTGGAAAATGTCTGGAGGAGTGTTGCATTACAGAGCATGCCGAGATGATTGATTAAAGAAAGACTATTTCTATAAAATCTGCTAATTTCCCTTAAAAACATTCAAAAAGGATCCAGAAGCTCTAGTTGTCTCGCTAATCTGAGTGGTTTTTTCCCTTGTTCAAGAGTTGGGGAAATGTGAAGGAGGAGCTTGGAACTCTTGTGCAGTGGCAGAAGGCAGAGATTTCCACAGCACAACAGCAGTGTCAGGATGTGGCCTTAATATTTGTGTTTGCACAGAGATAATATTGTTCTTTTATTCATAAATAACTTGCTGGGAGGAGTGTGGGTGGAGTGGGCAGGTGCCTGGCAGCTCTGGCACAAGTTTGAGAGGGGTAGTTGTTGAAACTTGGTGCAACCTGGTCGTGCCAAAGGCAGATGTTTGCAGTGCAAACTGCAGGTTTTATGGAATCCCGGAATGGTTTGGATTGGGAGGGACCTTAAAGCCCATCCAGTTCCACCCCCTGCCATGGGCAGGGACACCTTCCACTAGTCGAGGTTGCTCCAACCTGACCTTGGACACTTCCAGGGATGGGGCAGCCACAGCTTCTCTGGGCAGCCTGTGCCAGTGTTTTGCCACCCTGGGAACTCTTCTCCAAGTGTTGAGGCTGAGCAGCCTCCTTAGGGCTGTCTCTCCCCTCACCCAGGCCTGAGCAGTGCAGCAGCTGATGTGCTCCTTGTGTGATTTCAGCTGCTGTTGTGTATCACCCTCATTTGTTGGAACTTAATCAAAGAAATGAGAAATCAAGATCATTAACCTTGTCCTTGGGGCTTTGCCCTTCTCTCTTCCCTCTGTACCATATACCTGGGCTGTCCTGCTCTGAGTTGTCTTCTCTGAGCATACAGCATTTGAATACTCTTTTTGCCATCCTGTTTTAGCCATCTGTTAATGTTCTATCAGCAGTTTTTCCTTAGCTTCTCAATCTCCCCCTCTGTCTAGCAGGATGAAGTCACTCAGTTCACCTCTTTTCCTATCTCACTTGATAGATGTCTCTTGTCCTAGATTCATCTTTCTTCTACATCTCAAAGTCAAAAGTTGTTTCTCTCCCTTTTTTGCCTGTCTCTTGCCTACCCCCAGGGATCCTAACACCTGAGGTGGACAGTTGGACCACCTGGCTGGTGTCCATCCCTGCTCCAGGTGGGATTTTCCCTCCCACCTGAGATGCTGCAGCCCCTCTGCCCGATCTGTGCCATGTCCCCAGAGGTGAGGGATGTGGCCCCTCTGCTTTGGGCCAGTCCCTCCCTGTCCTTTCTGCTGTTCCTTGTCATCCTGTTCTTTCCTGTGCAAGCCTCCTCTTGTCTCCTGCTCCTTCATGTCATGGCTTGACTGAAATTGTACCTCCCTTGAGCCAGGGCCAGCCTTGCTCGTTGAAGGAACACCTTGTACATGTCATGCTGTTCAAAGCATATAAAATTAGGAGAACATAAATGTCTTTTCAGGGAACAGCTGCCCAAAACTCCTCTTTAACAAGCCCTGTTTCACCTGTTTGCCTCTTGAGGCTGCTGCTGCCCAAGGCTTTCCTTCCCAAGTGGAGTTGGAGACACGAGGAACGTGGAGTAAATTTCCTGTTTGATTTATTGACCTAGTTTAGGCAAATGAAACATCTTGGAGGCTTTTTAAGACCAAAAAGTCTTTAAGCCTGAACTGAAAGCAGTATGTGGGTGGTTTACATCTAAACATGCAGGTATTTTCAGGGCCCTTGGTGAATGCTGCTGTCTGCCATGGTTTTGGTGTTTGACTTAATTCCAGAAAGGATAATAGGTCTTTGCCCCTTAGCAGTTTTTGGGGTTTGAATTTTTGTTCTCCTTTTGTACCTTTCATAATGGTGTTTGATTAATTGATCTAATGGATTTAATTATCTAATAGATTTCTCTTTTTCCTCTAACTCCACTTCTTTCTTATTAACAGGAATTACTGTTGGCCAGAATAAAAGAGGTATTTTTTCACTGGTTCCTAAGTCTTGTGGTCTTTGCACTGTGGTGTAGTTCCCTTAGCTGATAGAAGCATTCCATAGCTATTAGGCACGGGGACATGGTGTATTCCCTTCAGTTTGAAATATTTAAAATACTCTTTCCTCTACAGGTAAAATAAATTGTTCTGTTAGGTAATCACTGTACAAAACCAAACACGGAATTTTGGTCACTGTTTTTGGGCTGGTGCAAAGATGAAAGAACATGGGCATGTGTGTGTTGGAGCAGCTCAGCTGTGTGTGGTGGGAGATCACCTGCTGAAATTCAGGGCTGAGAACCACACCTCGATTTTGGCTGGTCTGTAGCATTTGCCACTAACTACTACCTGTGTTCCAAATAACACACACACAGCTGGTTCCTTAGTAAATTAGATACCAGGTAATAATGCTTGAAATGATGAGTTTTCAACTCTGGAGCTGTGCTGTCGTGGAGCCAGGTCCCATTTCCCTGTGGACTCTTGAGTCAGCTGCTGGTCAGTGCTAAAACAAGGATCTCTGTGTGCCAGGGTTGCTGATAGCCCTGATTAAACAGATGAAGGTGGCTGCTTATTTCCTTTGCTTAGTCAAGCCTCAATTACCGAGGCTTTATGCTGTAGAAGCTCCTGTTTCATGTTTCCCTTCCAGCACTGGTTCCCACCCTTCCCACCCAGTTGTGATCGTGTCGTAGGTTCGCTGGCTACAACCTGGAGCTGCCCAGCAAGTGGCTGCAGACCAGTTGGGAGTGCCTGGTGTGCAGAGAGTGCCAGCTGGAACTGGGAACTGGGGTCCCCTCGAGGTGGTGCTGCCCCATCTCAGCAGGGTGGGGTTGACTCTCTCTGCCCTTGTGTTGCAGACTCGCCAGCCCGTGTTCGTGCAGCTGCTGCAGGGGGTGTTCAGGGTGTACCACTGCAACTGGCTGATGCCCAGCCAGAAGGCCTCTGTGGAGAGCTGCATTCGGGTCCTCTCAGATGTAGGTAAGAAGTGGACGTGAGCAGAACTAACTGCTCAGATGTGGTCATCCAGAACTTGCTGCTTTCACGTCGTCCTTCCATGAAGAAAGTGCAGTTTCCTTCCCCCAGGTGTCACCTGTGGATAAGTCGTGGCCCAGGTGTAAAGAGCCAGGGTTATGTTGATAAATGGTCGTGGTTGAGCAATAGGTGGTGTGACTGTCACATGAAGTGCTCTCTCTGTTCAGCCTCCAAACTCTGCAGCAGGGAGATAATTTTGTGCCGCTCCTCCCCGTGATTTGCTCCACTTTTAGTATCAAGAGGAGTAAGTTGTACTGGATATGAGGCCAGGTTCTGTTGGATGGGTGTACACGTGTGCCAGCACGAGCTGTTGGGAGTGTGTGTGTAGGGACAGATTCCTCCTCCCACACTTGAGAGACAGTAAACAGCTCTGAGGTGTGAAAGCCTTTAACCACAGTCCTGCACAGGTCTGACCCACTGCACAGGGACCGAGCACTGCCTGGGTTAAAATGCACTCAGAGAATCATGGATTCATTAAGGTTTGGAAAAGACCTCTGAGATCACCAGGTCCAGCTGTCAACCAGCACCACCACCATGTTCACCCTAAACCATGTCCTCAAGTGCCACACCCAGGTGTTTTTTGAACCCTTCCAGGAGTGGTGACTCCATCACCTCCCTGGGCAGCCCGTTCCGATGCTTGACAAACCTTTCCATGAAAAACTTCTCCCTGATATCTAATCTAAACCTGCCCCTAGTACAAGTTGAGGCCATTTCCTTTCTCCCTCTCTAGGAGAGATTGTAGAAGGAAGGAGTTTGTAGAAGGAATTGCAGGTAGAGGTTTGTCTTGTTCTCGTGTGGGTTCACGGGCTGAAGGTCTCAGTTCTCACTGACTTCGCTTGTTGCAGCCAAAAGCCGAGCGATTGCAATTCCTGTGGACTTGGACAGCCAGGTGAACAATCTGTTCCTGAAGTCCCATAACATTGTGCAGAAGACTGCCATGAACTGGAGGATGACTGCCAGGAACGCTGCCCGCAGGGACTCGGTGCTCGCTGCCTCCAGGGACTACCGCAACATCATCGAGAGGCTGCAGGTGCTGACACAACCCTTCCCCTGGGAGAACACTGCCTCTCCTTCAGGATAACCATTAAACAATAAAACTGAAAGTCTCATCTGACCAAACCCTGAGGCCTTTCATTTATTCAGGCAGGATGGGCCTCATTGTCCTGTCCCTCTTCTTGTAAGATTCTTGTCCTTCCCTCGTTTGTGAGATTAACTTGGCTGTAACTGTGTGTGTGTGATGTTTGCTGTATTCCAGGACATCGTGTCAGCCCTGGAGGATCGCCTGCGTCCCCTCGTGCAGGCAGAGCTCTCAGTGCTGGTAGATGTGCTGCACAGGCCTGAGCTGCTCTTCCCAGAGAACACGGATGCCAGGAGGAAATGTGAAAGTGGAGGTTTCATTTGCAAGTAAGTTGTCTTGGGACTCCGGCTTGTTGGGAGGATTTTTGTTGTATTTTGCTTTTCCCCAATTTTCCTGTACCCTGTGGAACAGGGCCCTCGTGTCCAGCTTGGTAAACACTTGATATGCTTAGAAACACTTGTAAAACACAGTATTTTGTGATGTGTTAAATGCAGTTTGTCCTTGGAGGGGGAAAAGTTGCCTGTGGGAATAGGGGAAGACTGTTTGATGTGCTGTCACAGCTAATGCTTAAAAATACTTGTTTACTGCAGGATACAAATGCCATGAGCAGTGGTATAAATGAGTTCAGCTTTGAGCTGATCCCAGTTATTTGATACCTGCCCTCACCCCAGTAATGTTTGTGAGGTGCTTGGGGAGTACATCAGGATCAGTTGTTACCATGTGCATCACCCACAGTTAGAGGGAAGGAAAGGAAAAGGTTACAGGGTTATTCAGAGGGCAATTTGAGCAGATCCAGCTTCTCTGATCACCTCCTGGCAGGGTGGGTTATGCACAGAGTTTATGGAAACTAAGTACTAAGTCCCAAGTGCTGGGTGGGATGGATTTTGGGTTGCGCTGTCCAAGACACTCAATATGTATTTTATCCAAGCTGTTATATGTGATACAGTTTTCTTACTGTTAAATGGTTGTTCTAGAGGACCATCAGGTCCTGAATCCCACTGATTCCTTGCTGCCTGTAGTCACAGGGTGTTTTTGGCTCTCCTCCTGCCCAGGGACTTCACAGCTTCCCTGGTAGCTGGTCAGATGTTGAGAGAATGCTCCCAAAGTGGTTGTGTAATGCTATGATAAAAAAACTTGTTTGCAGCATAAACCAGTTAAGATAACCATGCATATCTTACCCCACTTTTAGAATATTAGCACTAACCTGAGCTGTGGTTGATTGCTTTTTTCAGGTTAATTAAGCACACAAAACAGCTGCTGGAGGAGAATGAGGAGAAACTGTGTATTAAGGTATTACAGACGCTCAGGGAAATGATGACCAAAGATAGAGGCTATGGAGAAAAGGTAATGTGTTTATGGTCCATCACTCTGTGTTAAACACTGTCTTTGTTCAGTAAAGGAAAATAAAATTCCTGCTCTTTTCAGCTGTTTTGTGAGTGTAAGCACTTCTGGGCTGGAGCAGGAACAAAACATTTTTAGTCAACTAATACCTTTCAAATCATATTTGAAGTTAAACTTGTTTCTGTTGCTTTTCTACTTGAGCCTGGCAAGTTTAGGTCTAATTCCTGCAGTTGCTGGCAATCCAAAAAATCAATTCTGTTACCTTTCTATGAAGGATGTAACCTCTTTATCTGCTTTCTGGGTCTAGGTGGCTCTTTACCGGGTCTTGTAACCTTACAACAAGAGAGGGTATTTTGTAATTCATTTTAATTTGTAAACAGCTGAGTAATCTTGTTGTGAATTATAGATGGAAACTATCTGTACACCCACCCGTTCTTTTTTCTTTCCCTTTCCTGCATACAACTCCTTTGGTTGAGAAGAACATTCTTCTGTTTGCACAGACCTGTTCTTTATTTACATCAGAAAAGTGTGTATGCACCCATATGTTTGTGTATCTAGACATTGCTACAGTCAGCTGAGACTGGGAATTGGAGATTATCTCGTGGAATTCTAATCAGCTGAGGTTCTTGCCATGCCACAGAGTAGGTACAGGGGAATACACCCTCCAGTGAAGGTGCTGGGAGCAAGTGGGAGTGGGGGAAGCAGCGATGTGGGAGGACACTCACTGCACCCAGAGCAGGTGCTGTTCGTGTCCAGTTCTGCTGTGCAGTTGGGGTTGGAGTTGTTGCCTAGTGCTTGATTTACAGCAAAAAAAAAGGGTGAAAACTTCAGAGATTAGAGTTTTACAACAGCAATAACCGTTTGCGGCAGCCTGAGGGAGGGAGATGCTCTGCAGGCAGAGGAACCTGCAGCGTCCTGGCCAGCTGGGATGTCCCACGTGAGCCAGCCCAGCTGGCAGGGAGGAGGAGGCAGGAGCAGAACGAGGTGCTGTGGTGCCAGAGCAGGGGGAGGCAGAGCCCAGGGCCCGGGAGGGAGCCTGGCACATGCGGGTGTGCACGTGCACGTGTGTGGGCTGGTACCCAGCACACCCAGGGAGCACGTGGCAGTGCCAAGGGAGCGGGAGACTCCCAGGAAAATGCCCCAAGGGCTGGGACGGGCCCGGGCTGTGCTCCCTGCCCTGTCAGGAACGCTCTGCCCACGTGCTGCCCCTCTGCTGCCAGAGCCCAGCCCAGCCCAGATCCTGCTCAGCTCTGCTCCTGCCTGGGGATTTTTTCATTTTGCAGTAGCAGTGTTGTGGAATAAATTCAGTGACTTGCAGGAATGCCCTGATCAACTGCAGGAAAGCAGCACATCCATGTGGAATGAGGAGGGGAGCAGGGTCAGCAAGGAAGGGCAGCAACTGCAGGTGTCAGCTTTGAGCACTTTGTCCTTCTCTGCTGAAGGGGCAGAATCATGTGCTGGGGCATCCCAGCACGAGGTAGAGCCCTGTGGGGACCTTCTGTCCTCTCCTCGAGGTCCCTTTACTGAGACATCTGAGCTGGAAGGGGCTGCCTGGCTGTCAGTGCTCCTGGGCAGGGGAGCTGGGCTCGGGGATGCTCTGATGAGAGCAGAGTGCTGATGGTGCCTTTTGCCCAAGGCTGGGGGGGTAAGAGATTAAGTGTAACCATAGACTATGTTTTACACTTTATTAGCACATCAGTGCATGTTCTCCTGTTAAAAACAGCCAGGAGACACTGTCCAAGGTCACCCTAAGCCATAAAAACAGTGGGTGATGTATAGCATATATACACTGTACACCAGTGAAACCTAAATGAGAGCTCTGAGGGCTTTGTCCTTTTAAATGCAATCTGCCACTCACATTTTCCTAAATGGAAATTAATTTTCAGGAGTTCTTAGACTTTATTCACCCAACTTGGGGAAAGCAGGGTTTCTAGAAGCTGCAGTTAACATGCACCATTCAGACCATGGAGAACCCCACAAAATGCTAAAAATCTTTGAATTGTGGCAAATGCATTAACTCCTGAAGCAGTAGCTCAGTTACATAAGGGATCAGAATGTGCTGCCTGTGAAGTGGATTTCCGAGTCTGAAAAAGCAGCTGATTGCTCACGGATAGACTGGGAGTAGTAGTAGAACAGCTTTTGCTGTCTGGCTGTGAGCAGTGAAATCGGATTTATTCTCCCTTGTGACTCACTGAACTGAATTTAGTCACCACCTAAAAGGCAATACCTTTTGTTTTTAAAATCATCTTGGTGTGTAACAGGAAAAAAAAAAAAAAGGAAGGGGAAAAAACCCTTATGTACCCACTTTGAATTTTGGAGTCCCTCCATGGAGATGGGTTCTGTACATAAAGGTGATAAAATTTACCCTTGTGACCAGCATATTAATCTCATAAACAGTATAGTTTATAGGTCAGCTGGGCACAGAATCATGGAATGGGCTGGGTTGGAAGGGACCTTAAAGCCCATGCAGTCCACTCCCTTCCATGGGCAGGGACACCTTCCACTATCCCAGGTTGCTCCAAGCCCTGTCCAACCTGGCCTTGGACACTTCCAGGGATGGGGCAGCCACAGCTTCTCTGGGCAACCTGTGCCAGGGCCTCACCACACTCTGAGTAAAGAATTTCTTCCCAACATCTCCTTCCCTTCCCTCTGAGTTTGAGGCCACCCCCCCCCCATGTCCTGTCACTGTGTGCCAGAGCTGGCAGTGGTCACCCCAAAGTGTGTTCAGCAGCAGAGCGCTGTGCAAATCTTGGCATGGCCTGTGATTCTGCTGCAGTCCCATGTGGTGCTCTCTGGAACACCCTGGATTACATAAGGACAGTGCTCCTCCTGCCCTGCCTAATCTCCCAGCCCAGATAAGCAGGGCCTTGCCCTGCTGGCCCCTGCACGTGTCCCTGGTGTGGAGGGAGTGCTGGGAACACGCCCTGTGCTCCGGTGCTGAGGGCCCTGCTCCCACAGCTGGGGCTCCTCTGCAGCATGCAAAACCCGTGGGGAGAGCACAGATGTACAGGAGCCTGTGGGAAGGCTTAAAAATTTTACATATTGCTGAAGACTCCTCTCTTGGCACACGCTCAGGATGGCTCAGTGACGGGGAGCAGACTGTGCAGTATTTAATAGGCACAAAACTGCACTACACTGACAGTGTAGGCTAGACCCAAGTTTTTTACTTTGCTGAAACATGTCATTCATGCACGTCTCTCCGGGTGCCTACCAGCTGACTTGCCTCAGCTCTGCAGGGCTACATTTTAAAGCTCCATTTTTCCTGCCTGAAGTGGAGATGCAGCCCCTGCCCTCCTGCTGCTCTCACAGCTCTGCTCGTGATGCCTCCCGTGCCCAGGGGTGAAGTCCTTGGCTCCCTGTCAGCCAGCCCGCGTGGTTTGGCACAGGAACAAAGCCAGGGCACATCCTGCCTCCCAAGCTCCCTGGCACAGCATTCCCAGCAGTGTCTGTTCCCTAACCCGGCGCTGGCAGATGTTCCTCATGCCCACTGTGTAATATAGTGTTGGCTTGCAGCATTTAAGTGTTAAATGATTGATAAGAGCCTAACATGAAATTTATGTGTAACTTCTCTTACTAATCCTTGCTTTCAATTCTTCCCCTTCTTTCTTTCCCGGCAGATTACCATTGAATTGGATAATGCTGAGGTTTTAATTTTATTTCTTTTCTCCGGTGTTGTTTCTATGGTGTTTGTTTTACCAGTAGCCCTGTGATCTGTCCTGTCTGCAGCCCTGAGCGTTCTGGTTTGTGTGCCTGTGTCAGTGGATTAGTGGAGTTTTCAGTCTGCCGTGTGTCTACACTGGGAATAGTTACCATAACTAATTCCATATGTCATTAGTTGGAATATTAGTCCAAATGCAGTTAGAATATTTGGTAGCCTTCAGTCAGACCATGGTAGGTCCCGTGAAGTTTAGGATCACATCTGGAGGATGAGCACCATTTGAACATCAGCATTTAGCACTTGGCCCCCATTCCCTTGTCCTTTGTGAACAGGATGTTTCTTTTCATTTGGAAAACCAAGTACTGAGGCTCAGTGGTATCCATGCAGACGCTGGGAGAGCCTGGGTGCAGGTGGGCCTGGGGAGGGCCAGGTCCTTGTGCAGACACTGTGGTGGTGGTTTTACCCGAAAGGTGACGGTCGTGCAGTTCCCCAAAGCCTTTCACTGCCCTTCCTGTTCCTTCTCAGTCGGGTTTGGTGTGTGAAGCCACGTCAGACAGTTGGAGGGTTGTAAAAACCATGTGCTGTGACCCCGTGGAATTAGTGACTTCTGGAGCTATTTCTGTGTGAAAAGCTTCCTGCCATCCAACCCGAGCCCTCAGCTGCCACTGCCACGGTGTTTGTGCTGCATGGAGCTGCTCTAAGGGCAGAAAAGCCCTGTTGGAGGGAAAACTTAAACTGAAATTCAGCTTTCTAAGGACTCTGCAAAGCCGTGTGTCTGCTCGGGGCACGGGCTCGGGGTGGAGGGAGGGAGCTGAGCTGTCTCTGCTGCTGCAACTTCCTCATCGGCTCAAAAAAACCCTCGTGTGGGTGTGGAATTTGCATAAATGTATAATACTGAGAAAGTGATTGACTGGCACCTTATTTTACTGAAATACCACGGAAAAAAGAAATATTTCCCTCTCTGTGCTTTGTTTCCTGCATTCTTTCCCAAGCCAACCTTTTACTTGGAACAAAGCTTAACCACTTAAAACGTTTAAAACGTTGCTGCTCTTTATTCAGTGGAGTAGATAATGAAATAGGCCATAAATTGCTTTCTGTAGGACTTAATTTTGATGTTAACCACCTGAATTCACTGGGTAAACTTCCTTCTGAAAATGAAATAATATTGGGGACCTTGCGTGTTGAAATGGGTTCGAAATCCAAATTATTTGTGACAAGACTAGACAAAAAAAGTGGCCACGTGGCCCAGGGTTGGGCTGGAGGGTCTTTTCTGTTCAGGAGGGCTTTTAGGGGAGGGGAGGAGCAGAATTTCTCACAAGAACAAACTGGAGTTGTGGCTTTTTTG